CTCCATATAAATATATATGAATATGAACATGAATAAATATCTTATGAATAGGGTTAGAAATGATCTCTGAGCTCACTTTTATTGTCCACAAACTTTTAATTTTCTCCATGTTCTCCTGGATACTTCCTTCCATGTTGATTTATGGAAGTTGTGTACAATTTCTGAGTCTGGCTGGTGTGGTTCAGTGGATTGAGCGCTGTCTCATGGACTGAGAGGTCCTGGTTCGATTCCCAGTTAGGGCACACGCCCAGGTTGCAGGATCAACTCCCAGTAGGGGGCATGCAGGCAGCAGCCGATCAATGTTTCTCTCTCACATGGATGTTTCTATCTCTCTCTTCTTTCCTCTCTCTCTAAAAAATCAATAAAACATATTTTTTTTAATTCCTGAGAGAAAGATTTAGATCCTCACAATTGTTGTTATTAGAGTATCATCCATAGGGACTTTGTCTCTATGCTGCATGCTGAAGTACTTCATATTGGTATTAATACCGTTAACCTTCTCAAGTTACTCTGTTATATCAATTCTTCTTTAAAAATGAAGCATGTCCAAAGGCTCTAATTCTCAACATATGCACTGGGAAATAAACATTTGATTTGAATGAATCACAAAACATGTGACAAAATTTTATACATTCTTGATCAATATAGTCTGCTATTGCTTTTTTTTTTTCATTCTTTAGAACAGCAATTTCCAATGTGGGTTTCACATACTCCCAAGAATAAGCCAACTTATCTACTCGAGAAGGAAAATATAAAGATGTTATCTGTATTGTTTCTCCTCATTCTCTGGAATTTTCATTTCTGTGTATAACACTAATAATATATTAGTGCAGTACATATTAATCAAAAAAGTTTGGAAGCTACTATTATGAACTTGAGCACATTTGAAAGTTGTAAGCTTTTTCATTTCTTGAGTCGTAAAATGAGGTTATCATAATAACCAACTACAGGGTCAAACAAATTTCAAGTATAGCAAAGAATCATTCTATTCATTGAACAGTAAATGTTCAAGACTGAAGTCATGATTTTCTTGACTACTAACAGTAGGCAGTATTTTCTTTCTTTCTTTTTTATTAATTTATTTTTGTTACAGATGTTTCTCCTTTTTTTCCCATTGACACCCTCCTTTCCATAACCCCCCCCCACCCCGTCCCCAGCTTTGTTGTCCATGTCCATCAGTTATGCATACATGCAAATAAGTTCTGTAGTTTATGTCTTCTCTCTCTCGTTCCCCCTCTACATCTTCTGAGGGTGGTCAGTCTGTACCCTACTTCCATGTCTCTGGCTCTACCCTGTTTCTCAGACTGTTATGATCATTATATTCCACAAATAAGTGAAATCATGTGATATCTGTTTTTCTCTGCTTGGCTTCTTTCACTTAGGATAATACTCTCCAGGTCCCTCCATGTCGTCTCTAAGGATATGAGATCTTTCTTTCGAACAGCTGCATAGTACTCCATTGTGTATATGTACCACTGCTTTTTTATCATTCATCTACTGATGAACACTTGGGCTGTTTCCAGATCTTAGCTATTGTAAATAGTGCTACTATGAACATGGGGGTATATATATTCTTTCTGGTTGGTGTTTCAGGCTTCTTAGGGTATATTCCTAGCAGTGGGATCACTGGGTCAAATGGAAGTTCAATTTTTAATTTTTTGAGGTAACACCATAGTGTTTTCCACAGTGGCTGCACCAGTCTGCATTCCCTCCAGCAGTATACTAGAGTCCCCTTTTCTCCACACCCTCACCAACACTTGTTGTTTGATGACTTGTTGATAGTGACCATTCTGACAGGTGTGAGGTGATACCTCATAGTTGTTTTAATTTGCATCTCTCTGATGATTAGTGATGCTGAGCATTTTTTGATATGTCTCCAGCCATTTGTATGTCCTATTTGGAGAGGTGTCTATTTAGTTCCTCTGCGCATTTTTTAATTGGGTTTTTTTACTTTTTTTTGTTGAGTTGTATGAGTGCTCTATATATTGGGAATTAACCCCTTATCTGATGTATCACTGGCAATGATGCTCTCCCATACAGTGGGTTCCCTTTCTGTTTTGATGGTTGTTTCTTTTGCTGTGCAGAAGCTTTTGAGTTTGATGTAGTCCCATGTGTTCATTTTCTCCTTTGTTTCTGTTGCCTTAGGGGATATATCAGTGAAAATTCTGCTGCATATGATGTCTGAAATTTTGTTGCCTACATTTTCTACTAGGATTTTTATAAATTCACGAGTCACATTTAAGTCTTTTATCCATTTTGAGTTTATTCTTGTGTATGGTGTAAGTTGATGATCTATTTTCATGTAGCTGTCCAATTTTCCCAACACCATTTATTACAGAGGCTGTCTTTACTCCATTGTATGCTCTTGCCACCTTTGTCAAATATTAATTGAGCATAATGTCTTGAGTCAATTTCTGGGTTCTCTGTTCTGTTCCACTGGTCTATATGCCTGTCCTTGTGCCAGTACCAGGCTGGTTTGATTACAGTAGCTTTGTTGTATAACCTGATATCCGGTATTGTGATCCCACCTACTTTGTCCTTCTTTTTTAAGATTGCTGTGGCTATTTGGGGTCTTTTTTGGTTCCATATGAACTTTTGAAGTATTTGTTCTAGTTCTGTGAAGTATGTCATTGGTATTTTGATGGGGATTGCATTGAATCTATAGATTGCTTTGGGTAATATGGACATTTTAATGATGTTAATTCTTCCAATCCATGAACAACGTATGTGATTCCACTTTTTTATATCTTCCTCTATTTCTTTTTTCAGTGTCCTGTAGTTTTCTGCAAATAAGTCCTTTACTTCTTTGGTTAAGTTTATTCCTACATATCTCAATTTTTTTGCTGCCATGGTAAATGGGATTGTTTCTTTAGTTTCTCTGTGAGTTCATCATTGATGTATAAAATGCTGTCAATTTCTTGACGTTAATTTTGTATCCTGCTACTTTGCCAAATTCATTTATTAAGTCTAGTAGATTTTTGATGAAGTCTTTAGGGTTTTCTATGTATAATAGCATGTCATCTGCAAATAATGACAGTTTCACTTCCTCCTTTCCAATTTGGATCTCTTTTTTTTTTCCATGTCTGATTGCTGTGGCTAAGACTTCCAGTACTATGTTAAATAAGAGTGGCAAAAGTGGGCATCCCTGTCTTGTTCCTGTTCTTAAGGGAAACGCTTTTAGTTTTTGCCCATTGAGTATGATGTTGGCTGTAGGTGTTTCATATATGGCCTTTATTATGTCAAGATATGATCCCTCTATTTCCACATTGTTAAGCGTTTTTATCAGAAATGGGTGCTAGATTTTGTTGAATGCTGTTTCAGCATCTATTGATATGATCATGTAGTTTTTATCTTTCATTTTGTTTATGTGGTATATCACATTATTGATTTGTAAATATTGTACCAGCCTTGCATCCCTGGGATGAATCTCACTTGGTCATGGTGAATAATTTTTTTGATGTATTGCTGGATCCTATTTCTAGTATTTTGTTCAGGATTTTGGTATCTATGTTCATCAGGGATATTGGCCAGTAGTTTCTTTCTTCATAATGTCTTTTTCTGGTTTTGGAATTAGAATTATGCTGGCCTCATGAAACAAGTTAGGAAGTCTTCCTTCTTCTTGAATTTTTTGAAAGAGTTTGAGGATAATGGGTGTTAGTTCTTCCTTGAATGTTTGGTAAAACTCCCCGTGAAGCTGTCCAGGCCTGGGTTTTTGTTTGCTGGGAGAGTCTTGATTACATCTTCAATTTCCTTAGTTGTTATTGGTCTGTTCAAGTTTTCTATTTCTTCCTGGTCCAGTTTTGGGAGACTATTTGTTTCTAGAAATTTATCCATTTCATATAGATTGTCAAATTTGTTGCCATGTAATTGTTCATGGTATTTGTTAATGATCCTTTGTATTTCTGTGGTCAGTTGTTACTTCTCCTCTTTCATTTCTGATTTTGTGTATTTGGGTTCTTTCTCATTGTTTCTTGGTGAGTCTAGCTAAGGGTCCATCAATCTTGTTTATCTTTTCGAAAAACCAGCTCTTTGTTTCACTGATCCATTGAATTGTTTTTTTGGTCTCTATGTCATTTATTTCTGCTCTGATATTTACTATTTTCTTCCTTCTCCTTGCTCTGGGGTTTTCTTTTTGTTTGCTTTCTAGTTCTTTAAGTTGTGGGGTTAGATAGTCTATTAGAAATTTTTCTTGCTTCTTGAGTTAGGCCTGTAGTGCTGTGAACTTTCCCCCTCAGAACTGCTTTCACTGCATCCCATAGATTTTGTGACGTTGTATGTTCATTTTCATTGGTTTCCAGGAAGTTTTTAATATCTTCCTTGATCTCCATGGTAACCCACTCATTGTTTAATAACATGCTATTTAGCCTCCATGTTTTCAAATGTCTTTGCATGTTCTTATTGCAATTGATTTATAGTTTTATGTCATTTTGATCTGAGAAGATGCTTATTATGATTTCAATCTTCTTGAACTTGTAGAGACTTAGTTTGTGTCCCAGCATTTGCCTATCTTTGAGAATGTCCCATGTGCACTTGAGAAGAATGTGTATTCTGTAGTTTTGGGGTGTAATTCTCTGTAGATATCTATTAAATCCATTTGGTCTAGTGCTTCATTTAGAGGCTGTGTTTCCTTGTTAATTTTTTGTCTAGAGGATCTATCCAGTGCTGTCAGCAGGGTATTGAAGTCCCCTGCTATGATTGTATTGCTGTTGATTTCTCCTTTGAAATCCTCCAGATTTTTAATATATTTTGGTGCTCCTATATTGTGTGCATATATGTTTACCAAGGTTATATCTTCCTGTTGGATAGATCCTTTCAACATTGTATAGTGACCTTCTTTGTCTCTAGTTATGACCTCCATTTTGAAATCTATTTGATCAGATGTGAGTATTACTACCCAGCTTTTTTTCTTTCTGTTTGCTTGGAAGATTTTTTTCCATCCCTTCACTTTTAACCTATGTGAGTCTTTTGTTGTGAGGTGGGTCTCTTGTAAACAACATATAAAAAATATGGAGCACTTCACGAATTTGTGCGTCATCCTTGCACAGGGGCCATCTAATCTTCTCTGTGTCATTCCAGTTTTAGTCTATGTGCTACTTAATCGAGCACAGTATTTTCTGTCAAGAATCCTTCATGAGAATAGTGAAGATGAATTAGTCAGCTTTTCCAACCCACAAGTCAAAAAATACTTGTGAAACTCTGAAGTACTACACTTTTGGTTTGGGGGTTTTGTTGTTGATGTTGTTTTCAGGGGGGGTATGTATGTTTAGGGGTTGGAGGAGAACACTGGTCTTGGAGAGAAGCAGAATCTCTTGACTAAGTAGGTCACATGACTAGAGAGTAGTAGAATTGTACCTTGAGCCCTCATCTTCTCATTCCAAATCCTTTGTTGTTCTTCCAGTTTATGCTAAGCACCATTTCTCTGGGTATCTGAAAACTCCATTCTAGCACTGGGACAATGTGGCATAGAGCTAATGTGGTTTAAAGGCTTCAGGACCTTCCACCTGCCTCCACCACTTACTGGATGAGTGACCTTACGAAAGCATTTTTATCTCTCTGAACATCAATTTCTTCATCCTATAAAGGACACAGTAATCCCTGTCATGCCTACCTCAGAGGATTGTCAAGATACAAACACATGAAGTGTGTCAATGTGCCTTATGAACTGTAAAGAACTTATAAAATCAGGTACTCACTTTTGTTCTTACATCCGCACAAGGTGTTGCCTTGGGCAGGCACGGAGCCCGCACAGTCCTGGATATTTCCTATCTCTGCAATGGAAGCCACCGATCCTCAGCTCCAGTAATTTTTAGCACCTATAATGTGAAAGGCAGTAGAACCTGTGACTTTGTTAGCCACCAGCTACATAACAGGGAATCCCTATTCAAATTCAGTTTAAGATTAACCCAAGCTAAGAATTCAAGAGGATATTATGGGAAATGGAACAGCCTTTATCCATCTATAATTATGGAAGGCAAATTATTATATGCCCTGAAATTGGAAGGAAAATAGGGATGAAAAATATTCAGTTTTGGTATTCTTGGAGAAGCAACTGTGTACATAATTCAAAAGGAAAATAAATGTTACCGTTCCAAAATCATCATCTTCTGGAAAGAAAATTCAAGCTGTGTTTCTTCTTTCTAGCCAAGCTTGGAAACTGTCATTAAGTCTTCCTTGTGGGAAGTTAATGTAACAAAAAAACTACTGAAGGACTATTAAGAGCTAATACTTTCCTTAGAATCACTTAATTCTATAACATACAGATGGAATTCTTATTTTAACAGCCATGTAGAGAGTATTTAATACTTTAAATTTTTTCCCTAGCCATTTGGCAGCTCCTAGTTTACTACTCAGAAGAGGGAATAAAATATGACCGGTAATGCTGACAGTCAAAAAAGCAAAACTTTCTCCGTCACTTCTCCCTCACTACAATTTTACTGCTCATGTGGATTGACCTGCAGGGTTTAATGGCCAAGGAATTAATCAGAAATGTCTGTTCTGGTAGAAACACTGCTGCCATTGCTGTGGTTAGTGATTTCTTTTTAAACATAATTTTTAAAAGCTAAATTATCTTCAAGTAGTGAAAGGCTCTTTCTTGGTAGATTCCTCTTTGTTATTTGTACAAATTAGCTGCAATTTCAGAGAGAGTTGGCTGCCATTCTTCCATTATGTGGAGTAGGTAAATGATCCAAAGAGGTGCTTCATCCTTCTGAGTCCCGCCAAGTCATTTCTTCCAAACCTGAGACCACACACTAAGAGGGATATTGAGATTTCTTGGTTTTGAGACTAAGACAAATGACAAGTGCGCCAAGCAAAATAAGATGAAGTGACCATTTTTAGGCCAGTTCCTTGCTTAAAACCCTTTCGTAATACAATAACCATAAAGTTGTTTAATGCTCCCCAGACAGAGATCTGGCGTTTCCTATGAGAAGAAAATCACTTCAGACTGACAACTAAGGAGCATACATAGTTCAGCTAACCAGTCAGCATGAACAGAAAGTCAGTGACGACACAGGGACGCAGAAAACCAACTAAACTAGAACCTTAACAAACTATTCCAAAGAAGAGTCTATCATTAGGTTCAGCGTCTTCACAATCAATATGACTGGCACAAATTAGGCCCTCGATAATAATTGAGTAAATTGGGATGGAAAGTTTAGCCAGTCTGCAAAATCATCCAAGGATCATTTTCCTCTAAAAATTTAATTTTCGATTCCTAGCTTTTCAGTGCTAGAGAAAGCTATTCATAGTCCTAAATAGTAAAGTACAGGCTTCTGACACAGCCCATAATTGGGAAGGCCTGCTGAGCAGAACACCAATTTACATTGCTTCGAATGGCCCTCAGCATAGCAACATATACATCTAGAATTTAGATACATTCGAGTGATATTAAAACATCCCAGATATAAGAAATATCATATAGATTACTCAAAAAATACTTTTTTCATCTCCAGTTACTAAAATAAGCAAACCTGGGGAAAAATATAAAATCGCAAAATATATCCTTTCTGGGCCTCATTATCAGGAAACAAAGCAAAGAACTAGATAGTTGAATGCCCATAAAGTTTTTTGTTAGGACTCAGAGTTAAATCACACAGGAACTAGGGTTTTCTTTTTCTTTTTCAAAACAACCTTGCAGCCCTTTTCCACAGTGTGGTTTCAGGTGTGTTACTAATAACTTTTACTGTTCTTTCTGGATAAAGAACCATTATCTCCTCACCCTTTGATGTCTAGCACCTCCATTCAAGTCACTGAAAAAATGGGATTAATGAAAACAGATAGAACTCAAAATTAATGCCATCCTAAGAAGAAAGCAAATGAGAGCAATGAAGCAAGGATGAAACTTCCCACTTGAGGAGTATTGGGGAGAGTTTTATCCATAACAGAGAGTATCCAGTGTCATCTGGGGAGTGTGAGGTTTGTTTGTTTTTATAGCATGTGACGCTCAGTAGAGAACATCTGTAAACCAGCTTAATGTAGTGGTGACAGCTGCAACAATGCTAAAGCATTTTTATTCTGTAAAAAAATGGGTAGGGTCCCTGGCCAGTTTGGCTCAGCAGTTAGAGTGTAAACCCACAAACTGAAGGGTCTCAGGTTCGGTTTCCAGTCAAGGGCATATACCTGGGTTACAGGTTTGATCCCTGGCTCCAGTTGAGGTCATGCAGGAGACAACCAGTCAATGTGTCTCTCTCACATCAATGTTCATTCTCTCTCTCTCTCTCTCTCTCTCTCTCTACTTCCCCTCCAGTCTATCTAAAAATCAATGGAAAAATATCCTCAGGTGAGGATTAACAACAACAACAAAAAAGGGTGGGGATTAGAATTCCATTCATTCCTTTGTGACAGCAACTGAGACCTGAATTCAGAGCTTCTTTGGGCATACGTAGTATTTACATATCTTCATGATTTGCTAAATTTGCTTCCTTTTTAAAAAATGCCTTCAGTGCCCTGGCCGGTTTGGCTCAGCGGTTAGAGCGTCGGCCTGCGGTCCTGAGAGACCCGGGTTCGGTTCCCGCTAAGGGCACGTACCTCGGTTGCAGTTTGTCCCTGGCCCTGGTCGGTCATGCGGGTGGCAGCCACTCGATGTGTTCCTTTCACATCGATGTTTCTCTCTCTGTCTCTGTTCCTCTCTCTCCCTCCCACTCTACCTGAACAAAAAATGGAAAAATGTCCTCGGGTGAGGATAAAAAAAAAAAAAAAAATGTCTTCAGTGCCATAAGTAAGTCTAAATGCAGCATATACTAAACAGGAATACAGGTAAATTCAGCAACCAGTGTAGACCAGTGTAGGACATGCTGCTCTCTCCTAAACATGTTCTAAAGGAAAGGCAGTGATAAATACTGGGAATGTTATCATTTACTACAAGAAGGGGAGCAAAAAAGAAGTTTTAAAATCTGTTTTAAGATCCAACACTGAAATCTGCATATTAACGACTCCTAAATTTATGTCTCTAGTCTATTCATCTACCTGGACATACCTGATTATCTTCTTGCCCTGTCCCAGCCCAGCACCTCACCCCATTCATGACTTCTTGAGTCACCAATTGGTATGATAATTTCTGACATTGTTTATAAAGCAATAATTAATTTAGCCCTGGAAACTTGAATAAACTTAAGGGAGTTAGAATTAATAAGAAGAAGAAACCCTATGAGTTCTTAATCTTTATATATGTTAATTCTTTTAATCCTCGCAACCCCATGAAGTCCATCATTCATGTTTTTTTACAGAATTAATGCATAGAGAGGTTAAGCAACTAGCTCAAGAAAACACAGCTAGAAATTGGTGGAGTTGGAATTAGAACCAAGTAGTCTGGTTCCAGAACCAGGAACCCTTACCACCTGTCCTAGGCTGCCTCTCAAAAATAAACAAGCAAACACACACAGAAATGCCACATGCTAAGTGGTCTCTTAACCCCTTACCTAATTTACACTGATTACTTATGGAATTTTCCATTCATTTCAATTTGGTCTCCAGTTGGTTTTTGTTGTTGTTGTTTTTGTTTGTTTTTTTATCCTCACTGGAGGACATTTTCCCATTTTTTTGTTCGGGTAGAGTGGGAGGGAGAGAGAGGAACAGAGAGAGAGAGAGAAACATCGATGTGAAAGGAACACATCGAGTGGCTGCCACCCGCACGACCAACCAGGGCCGGGGACAAACTGCAACCGAGGTACATGCCCTTAGCGGGAACCGAACCCGGGTCTCTCAGGACCGCAGGTCGACGCTCTAACCGCTGAGCCAAACCGGCCAGGGCTGGTCTCCTGTTGTTAAAGATGCATAAAATAGGAGATGAGCCGAACAAAGCCTTCCAATAGAAAGTCAATAGAAATAGGTTGATTGGATGAATGAATGAAATACTAGGACACTCTACTTTCTATAGCCATCTGTTGACGTTAGATTATTCTCCAGTTCTCCTTGCTATGAACAGTTTTTCTACAGACTTCTATCTTTCGCAATTGTTGTAATGAATCTAGAAGTAACTGGCATTCGCCTTTCCTTGTACGCTCCCCCCTCCCGTCCATCTGCTCTTTGGAGGGTGCATTCCTCCCCCCAGATTCACCAATGAAGCCACACTGCTTCTGCTTTTTATAATTTTGGTGAAATATTTTAGG